CATTTGGCTTTCATCGAAGAGAAACAGTACAGAATCAATATTTGTAAGAGTCAAACATTGGAACAACCCAAATGTTCATAATTTCAAATGAACAGGTGAATAGGTATAAATATACATACATATAAAACCATTCTTATATTTCCCTATATATGTATATATATCTATGAAAATAGACTACATCTGTATGCAAAAGCATGGATGTACCTAGGGAACTCTATAACATATAAATGTGTGTATATGTATAGCACATGGTATATATATGAAAAAAAAAATATATATATATATGAATATATATAGTATGTAGCTGCGGTCCCCAAGCCCCGGTCAGTGGCCTGTTAGGGACAAGGCCGCAGAGCTCTGCCACCCCCGCCGCCATCCCATCCAAGTGGAAAATTGTCTTCTATGAAACTTAGGAACGTAGGGTGGGGGCGCAGCAGCAGGAGGTGAGCATTGGGTGAGTCAGGGAAGCTTCATCTGCATTTACAGCCGCTCCCCATCACTCACATCACCACATAAGCTCTGCCTCCTGTCAGATCAGCAGCAGCATTAGATTCTCACAGGAGCACAAACTCTACTATAAACTGCACATGTGAGGGATCTAGGTTGGGTGCTCTTTATGAGAATCTAATGCCTGATGCTCTGAGATGGAGCTGAGACAGTGATGCTAGCACTGGGGAGCAGCGACAAGTACAGATTAGTATTAGCAGAGAGATTTGGCTGCACAATAAATGTAATGTGCTTCAATCATCCCCAAATCATTCCCTTCCCACATCCATGGAAAAATTGTCTTCCATGAAAGTGGTCCCTGGTGACAAAAAAGTTGGGGACCGCTGTATATAGGATATATATAACATATAGTAAACAAGATATATAAGAACACTATAGTATGAAACCAGTTTGTGTCAAATTCAAGAAAATATACAGTGCATTGTTTAGACATATTTATATATTATATATATAATATGTAATAAAAAACTAAGTAAATAATAATAAATAGAAAACTATGGATAATACCTATATTCAAGGGAGAAGAGGATGAAATCAAGGAAGAATATATAGGGAGATTCAAGTTATTGATAATGTCTAGTGGGTCTCCAGATGTTCATTGTATTGAACATGTGTATATAAATATATACTTACATTATAAATGTTTAAAAATATATATTTTAAAATTATGTTTGTATATTTTACATAATTATACAGGTATAAGTTATAAAACTATATATTCTTTTGAAATATTCAACTATATAACAAAGAAAACTGAAAATTTTTGCTTTTATTACAAATTGACATGTTCAGTTACACATTAAATAATACAGAATTGCCTATTCAAATCATTTACCCAAAATGTATTTATCCAATGTTTTCCAAAACAAAATGTGTTGCAGTGTTAAGACTCTTGTCTTCCTGCTTCATTCTTTTTGTTATTCCTGTTAAACTGATACTAAAAAATAAGATGTTTGCTTATCTTTTACACAAATAATATAACTTTACTACATACGTAATATGCTGATCTCAAGATGCCCAGGTAATGGCACTGACTGCAGTGTTGGGAAAAAGTGTACACGATCAGCTCCAACACTTATAAAATGTTAGGAGAGATTTTTCTTGTCCAAATACGTAGGGCTTCTTACTTCCTTTGGAGTGTATGCAATTATTTCATAGTATGAATCTAATAGCATTGTAATCATATCTATGTTGATATACATTGTGGTTGTTTTTTTCAATTTAAAATGTTTGATGCATTTTGCTAAGAACACTTTCATTTTGCATAGATTTCAGGATCAAAGGATATTAAGACTTTAAAATAAAAATAATGCACATATTTTTCTAAAAGGTAGCAGCAATTTAGATCTACATATAGCAATTTACGAGAGTAACATTTCCCATATCCTCCATCACAGATGGATATCATTGAGCCAAATGTTTTACAATTTTATTTTTGCTTTGATTCATAATCTAAATCTTTAAAAAAATCTATTGAGAAAAATTCTACGGCTCACCAGGTGGTCTAACGTGGTGAATGTTGTATATGAATATGAGCAGACTGTGTATAGCACTATTCATGGATGTGCTATATAAATTACTGAGAGAGAAGAATTATGATGGTCTATGCAAGTTTTTCTCCCTTTAATTCCTTACTTTTTTCTTTGTTATTATGTGGTTATACATTTAAGATTGTAATTTATTCCTGGTGAATTGACATTTACTGTTCTATAAATATTTATTTCTAGTGATACGCATCTCACATTCTATTGTATTTAATATTATAATTACCACAATTTTCTTATGCTTAGTATTTCATGGTATACCATTTTGTATCTATTTATTTTAAAACTACCTGTGTCTTATTTTAAGAGTGCCTTTTATAAATAGGATGCAGTTGATAATGCTTTTTTATCTGATTCTTGAAATTGCTATTTTCAGATCATTTATATTTATTGCAATTTTTGAAATATATGAGTTCATATATATATATTTAATTTTTCATGTCTGTTCTTTGTTCCTCCATGTTTTTTCTCCTCCCTCCTTCAGATGAATTAAGTATAGTTTTAGTTTCTCATTTTGTCTTCTTTCTTGATATTTTAGTCATGCCTCTGTGTGTGTATTTGTATGTGTGTGTATGCATCTGGTTTTGTGTGGGTATTTTAGTAGTTGTTATAGATATTACTGTATGGATCTTTAATTTATCATTTTGATACATTCTATTACTGCTTGAACAATTAAAAACTTTAGAATAGTAAATATTCAAGTATTATCCTTTTACCATGTTTTGCTCTTAATGTAATATATTTTCTTGATGAACCATTATACCCCACATTACATTTTTTCTATTTTGTATTTATGCAGCCACTATCTTTTAAAGAAATCTATAAGCCTATATGTATGTGTGTGTACACTCATGTGTATGTGCATGAAAAAATTAAGAAGTCTTTATATTTCCTTACCTTTGTACTCCTTCAGGTGTTTCTCATCCTTTTCCTTCAGGACTGGGTTTCATTCTAATTTTCATTTCTCTTAAGCTTGAAAATTTTCTTTTAGCATTTTTCATTTTAAAACTCTGCTGTAAATACATTGTTTCAAACATTGAAAACATCTTAATTTCACTGTTGGGGGTGAGTATATTTTGTGGGATATCAAATTTTTTTTCTGTTGCATGCATTAAAGATGTGATTCCATTTTATTCTGCTCTTTATTGTTTCTAATGTGAGTTCAACCATTCATTTCCTTATCATTTTCCTGTATATGATGTGTCTTTCTTTTTCTTTCTTTCTTTCTTTCTTTCTTTCTTTCTTTCTTTCTTTCTTTCTTTCTTTCTTTCTTTCTTTCTTTCTGGCTGCTTTCAAGATCTTATCATTATTGTTGACTTTCACCAATTTAACAATGTTTATTCTATATGTAACTTTCTCTTTCTTCATTTTGTTTGGTAATCGTTGAGCTTTTTATATCTCTGGTCCATCAATTTTGGAAAATGTAAATTCTTCTTGTAGCTGTCTTCCATCAATTTTGGAAAATGGCTATTATTTTTTCTAATACTTATTTTGTCCTCATTCTCTTTCTCTTCTCCTCAGTCATCAGTTATAGATATATCATATATTAGACCTTTTGATGGATATTGGATCTTTTTGTTTGGTGGTTTGTTTTTTGTTTTGTTTCACTTTTTATTGTCTCAATATTTTTTTATTGATCTGACCTCACTTTGTTCCTTCCTTTGCTGGGTTTGGTTGTTGATAAATTCATCACAAGAAATCCTCATTTTTAAACCAGCCTGAGCAAGAGCGAGACCCCGTCTCTACTATAAATAGAAAGAAATTAATTGGCCAACTGATATATATATAAAAAATTAGCCGGGCATGGTGGCGCATGCCTGTAGTCCCAGCTACCTGGGAGGCTGAGGCAGTAGGATCACTCCAGCCCAGGAGTTTGAGGTTGCTGTGAGCTAGGCTGACGCCACGGCACTCACTCTAGCCTGGACAACAAAGCGAGACTCTGTCTCAAAAAAAAAAAAAAAAAAAAAGAAATCCTCATTTTTATTTTAATTCCAACATTAACATTATTATTTTTTAAATTTTCCATCTTTCTAATGTGACTCCCATAAGTTCCTAGTCGATGTACATTGTTAGTAGATCCTTTATAGATCCTTTAAGCATTATTTAATAGCTTTGGCTGTTCTGTCTAATAATTCCAATGCCTAAGCCACATCTTGCTTGACTAGCTAATTTGATTTTTGAAGATGGGCCCCTTTGTTTTGCTTTTATATTTTTCTCTTTTTTTATGATTGAACATTAGATACTATGTGTAAAGGAACACTGGAGAAGGAATACAGAATATTTATGCAAAGAAGAGGTCATGTCCCTTTTTTGGTCAAGACACTGGTGTCAATATAGTCTGTACATGAGTTGGTTTTGACTGTGCTGTTACTCGTTAGATTTAGTTCATCATAGGTTTAAAATGATTTAAGTGTGGAATTAGAAATTATCCTTTAACATTAGGTTTGGGATCTGAATGTCTGTGGGTTTGATCCATTTTCCTGCCCTGGTGGAATGCCTTTATAGATCCTACATAGCATTTAAACCAATTTTAAAATGTTTTCTTTTTGGCTTTTGGTTTGTAGAAAGCCAATTGTATACACTTTCAAATACCATGACATTAGAAAATAGCTAAGTTGTTGCAGCAGTTACTCGCTGAAAGTGTCAGGCTTTTTCTCTTAAACTCTCAGAATCGCTGCAGTCTCTCTCTCGCTTTCTTTCTTACTACACACACACACACACACACACACACACCACACACACACACAAATCTACATACATACATATATATTCCTTCCCAAAGGCAGCCTACTTTAACCTGTGTTAAAAGTGAGCTTAAAGCAGGAAAATGAAAATAACTTTTTTTCTGAAAGAGAGATAATACTGGCCAGGACAAATAGAGGATTGAATTGAATTGAATTGAAAAGAATAAGTTAGTTACTTTGAAAGGGTTTCTTTAGTACAGCTTACCATTCTTCTTGTCTTCTGTTGCTATAAAATGTTTTGCTGAAAAGAAGGGAGTTCATAATAACTTGCATTTGTATTACTCTGTGTGAAAGCTGTTGGTGTTTCAGATTACTGGAGAGATCTGGGTGAGATGGCAGAGGATCTGTTCAGTTTATTTCCATCCCAGGGAGCATCTTTATATATTTCTCTTTTTAAATATCACAGCACCACTGAGGAAAGCTTCTAAATAGCTCCATGAGGGAAAGGGGGACCACAATGGCTCCATAAGGTGCAGTCATTACAGAATAGACCTGAAATTGATTACAATAGTATTAATATTAGATGATTAAAAAGTAGTAATTCTAGTAAGAGCATTCTTTGCATTCTCTAAAGTATAGAGAAAACATCCTTACCTTTCTGTTACCCCTGAATCCAAATGTATAATCCAAATGTGTGCTATTGACCATATATTTAATTAATTATCTCTTGAGATGGATGCAAAAATAACTCCATGGAGTCAAACAGACAAAACCATCACATTGTTCTATGTTATGAGATGATTATGTATTTTTTTAAATTTGGGAATATGTGGCTACATCTTTTATCCCACCACTGTACTCTCTTTAGTTCTTTCCCAACTCTTACCATACTTTATTAAAATGATTTGTTTCCATGTTTTTCCTCCTTCATTTCTGGAATGCAGTCTTTTTCATCTTGGAATGCCTGCCATGTGTATCAGGCACTGTGTGGGCCCTGGAAATAAAGAGGTGAAAGGAATCTGACTTCAAGGAATTTAACCCCAGGAGATAATGGGTTATGACTCTGTCATTTACCAAAGAATTTCTGGGCATTTCTATATTCTGATGGCAATATTTAAAAATAACCATAGAGTTGCTTGATTTTTCCTTTTAAAATGTCCATGCAGACTTGATATTCAAATGTTGGGGGAAAACAATATAATAGGCACAGAGCATGCATATATATATATATATATATATATATATATATATATATATACATATGTATATACACACACATATATATGTATAAAACTCTTTACTGGAGTATTCAATTCTGACCTACTTTTGTGAATGTTCAACTTATAGGTACCACTTAACTTTTTAAATTTATAAATGTGATTGCAATAGTATGAGACCTATTTTATTTCAGCCGTATATAGATTCAACATCTGAGTTTACTCCAAATCTCATTTCTCAAATCTTTAAACTATTTTCAGATAGTCTCAGAAAAAGCCTTTTCAAATGTGGATATAACAAGTTATGTGGGAAGTATTGCCATGATTTTATGTCACCTCAGAAATGCTTTCTATCAGCTCTCAATTCTGAATGACACTAAGTGTTAGTCTTCTGGCATGACAAGTTAAAGGCATGCTAGTCACAAAGGGGAGAATAGTTTATGCAGAAGTCCTGAGACTTAAAGACAAACTTTTCCATTTTATACTTGGGATTTTGATTTCTTAAATTAATTAAGATTAGTTGATTTGTGTAATAAACAAAAACATAAACTTTCCTATTATCTTAAATGCAAAAAGTACAAGATTTATTTTAGAACTATAGTAGAAATAATAAACTCTTGGGGAAAATTCACTTGTATTTTAAGAATGTATTTTTAATGCCATTATATAATTACATTATTTAGGGCATTTTGGAGATTATAGAGTGAATCTCAGATGTAGCAATGTATTTTTTTAGTGAATTAATATGTCACTTATGAAACCACCTTATTAAACAGTACTATTGCTTCACCTGTCTGACTATCTCAGTCCATGCCGTGTAAAAGGTGTATTTACTTAATTCCTGGCTGTTTGGGGATCTTCCTTTGCTTCCCTATCCAATATGGGCTACTTAAAATGCCATTATATCAATTCTTATTACTCTGGAATTGCCATCAATTTTTTATATGAGCAATTATTCTCACCTTATACTCAAATTTGTTTGTAGAACAACTTGTTCAAATAATAGAAAGTTGAAAATGTTAACTCAATATACCTGGCTCTTCCACAGACATAAAACAACAACATGGATAAACCTATAGGACATTATGCTAATTGAAATAAGCCAGAGGGACCAATACTGTAAGAGTCCACCTACATGGGGTATATAAAATAGTCAATTTCATAGAAGCAGAAAATACAATGGTGGTTGCCAGGGGCTGGGGAGGACAAGAAATAGTTGTTGATCAACTGATATGAAATTTCAGTTATACAAGCAGTTCTAGAGATCTGCTGTATAAGCAAGTACCTTTAGTTAATAATATGGTCCTATATATTTAAAAATTTGTTAGGGGAATAAATCTCATGTTAAGTGTTCGTGCCATATATGTAACCTTAACATTTGTACCCCAATAATATGCTGGAAAAAAAAGTGTTCTTACCACCAATAAACAAACAAACAAGCAAACAAAAAATCCACAAAAAACCCACAGTACATACATGCGGAAAAACACATAAAGAGACAGACACAAGGAACCCTTTGGAGGGGATGGAAATGTTTATTACCTTAATTGTGGTGATGATATCAGTATTTGCATATGTTCAAACTTATCAAATTATATATTAAACATGCACGGTTTTCATTATATATCTATTACATATCAATTATACCTCAATAAAGCTACTAAAAACATTCCAATATCTGGGATCTCTTCTAATAATTGACTACAGATCAGATAACATATAAATCCTATTGACTTATTTCAGATGTCTTTTTACTACAACTTATATTTTCAAGGTTAGCTGGCACAATATATACATTTCAGCTTATAATTGTGGAATGAAGACCACCAGTTGGTACTACACACAAATAGGGTAAACTAAAATATGTATGAGTATTTTAAATTGGTTTAAAATATATGCATTACCTGCTTTTCATGATTTTGAGTCAAATAATGTTGTTGGTTTATACAATACATGTAATACTTGGTATCCCTGTAACCTTTCTTTAATAGAAAAGCTTTCTGGAAACATTGTAGAATTTACTTAATGTATTATTTATTTTAAAGTTTTGGGGCTTAAATTTATTTAATAATCACCTAATATAAACCTTAAATATAAATACAATAAATCAGGAGAACACACTGCTTTACCAAGTGCTTTTTAAGTAGTAAATTGGGAATGTAACACAAAATAAGTCAGTTTTTTTCCTGAAAAAAGATTTTGAACATTTGAAAAATCAATTTAACATGTTTATAAGTAAATTTTAATATTTTATTGATATTTTATCACCTGCTTTTATAATAATTAGATTCCTTAAGATCAGATAATCTAAGAGGTTAAACCAATAAATAAGTAGGCACATCATATCATAGGTTGATACCTATCTAAAAATGAATTTAAAATCTGTAAAAAAGAAGATGCATGAGTTTGGATTCAAGATTGGGTTAGAATTCTGATTGCTAGAAGAGATTTGTGGAAAAGACTAAAAATAACATAATATTACTAACACAGTGTTTAGCACAATGTGTACTAAATAATGACAAACATGCTAATATTACTAATGATAATAAAAAATACTATATTTAGAAACATTTAAAACTCAGTCGCTGTGGGTTACAATAAACTGCCAACAAAGTATTATTCTAAATTACATGAATAAATTTAACTTTCAGAATCAAAATTACTCTAACTCTCCAGAGCCCCAGAAACTGAAAAGCATGAGTCAACACAATTATTTGTTAGTAACATAATTACATAATGGAGAAAGATTTAGTAACTTAGCTAAAATTAACTAAATTATAAATTATTTGAAAAATAATTTTTAAAAACCTATGCAACATGACTTTAATTTGACCTTTGTCTAACTCCAAAAAAGAAGCATTGTTTTTTAACATGCCTTCTCATGATCTATCTGTCTATTGGTGTAACCCAGATTCCTGAATCTAACCTCAGATTTACTAAATCAGAATTTCTAGATGGTGAGCCCTTGAAATATGAATGACTAGCTTCCAAGATGAATTTTAAGTTCATTAAAATTAGAAACTTTAGCTCTGTTTTTCCATTCATTGTGATATATATAAGTGTGTGTGGGGGGGTACATACATATAAATATACATATGTGTATATATGTATATATATATATATATATATATATGTTCTAATTTGTTTTATCCATTTAACCTCATTACAACAAAAAATGGCAGGGACCAACAAAGAGAAGAATCAGCCAAGTACACAGCAGTCAAGAACATAGATGTGTATAACTGGTTATTTGAGGATCCCCAATACTGGCTATGCTTTTTTAACGTCTTCATATCCGTTACTATCTTCAGAAACAGTTTTGCTTTGACAGCTCCAGTTCTATTATCTTTATAATTTATAAAAAATAGTTCCTGATTTTGCAACCTCTGCCCATTTGAGCTTTTTACTCATTGTGCATTATTTTTTTCTGCTCTATGATAATACATGAAATATAAACTAGTCTCTTTACTTTGGACTCCTCCCACAAGACACTTGTTTGTGTGGTGTGCTTCACTGGGTTTTATATAACATAAACTCAAAATCTATATATAGTCATAGGAACTTCATATGTCCCTGTTCTTAAAATTCTTTTATTCACCTTTCCACTGGATTTGATTATAAGTTCATTCTCCTTCTTATCCTCAGGCTCTCAGGAGATTTTATTTTTATTTTATTATTTTTATTAATATTATGCAGAGCAAGTTAATCCCATATGTACTCCATGTCATAAGTTTTATCTTTTATTACAAAATCCTGATTGAATTTGTGCAGCTATGCCAAACAACCTAACATACACAATACAAGGCCATAACTCAGACTTCCATCATACCATGGAATCCATTATACCACTCTTTCCATACCCCATAAAAAAGGGATTGGCCATAATTGACAATGACTTTAAGATTTTAGTTATCCTTTTCTTCTCTAGTCACAAAAGAGATCACACTATGGAGATTTAGTCGTCCATTTAAATATTTATGCTACCCTTCTAGAAAGCAGAACTGGCTATAGTCCAATCTGGTTTTATTAATATTTTTTAACAACTTTTGTGCATGCACACATGCGTACACACACACTCCTGCAGTCAAACTAGGAGATATAATATGTATTTAACTGGATAAAACAAATTTAAATGGAGTGAAAGATAAGAGGACTCAGTGTAGGCTATTGAAAATCTAGCTTACAATTCATAAACTTTTTGAAATTACACCATTTACTTTTCTTTGCTAAATTACAGATTTCTCATTGGACAGATGTAGTAGTACCTACCTTGTACAATAAGTACTTAGCAGAGTTCCAGGAATACAGCAAGTGGACAATATAATATAGCTATTCTATTACAGAATTTGAGAATTAAAGTAACTTAAATCTTATCAGATATAAATTCATTATTTTATGTATTAAAAGGACCAAGAGAGATACATTCATTTAATCAAAAACATTTTATAAAAGAAATGAAAAGGAAGAGTGTTCTAGGCATCAAGAACAGAGAGTGGAAAAACCTTTGGTGAAGATAAATCAGGCGTAAGGATCCTGCAGCCTTAAGGCCACCCATGGCCTTCTAGGTCCTTAAGTGTGACCTTTTGACTAAATCCAAATTTTATAGAACAAATCTTTGCATTTTTATTAATACACTGTTGTTTACCTTTTACACTTTAATTTTAAATGAATGTATTTAAAATATTGATACCAAAGAATAAAATAAGTTTCAATGAAATGATCCTCCTAGATTGACCAGCACAATTAGAACATTAGTAAACCATGAAGGCTACATTGATGGCTGCTACTCTCATGATTTAGTTCTAACTTCCCCCACCTGGCTGGAGCCATGACTGCACAAGGCTGGTTGGTGAAGGTTTATGGGGGGTGGAGTATGCCAGTCTGTTATCAGCTTTTGAGAGTGGTGTTCTGTGTTTCTATTCGAAGTGGAACTTGTGAATAGTTTCACAGCTCGCCAGTATTTTTTAATTATGTCTGCTTAACAGCCCATTATGTCAAAGAAGACCAAAAGAACGCTGAAGGAAGAAAACATATTTTTAAATGAGGAATGGGAATTGCAATCTTGTTTCTGCTAAAGATAAGATGATTTGCTTGCTTTGTGGTAAGGCAATATTAACATTAAAGAATTTCAATGCTCATCAGCATTATAACACTCACAAGGACCACAAATATTAAATTAGAGGGAGGGGCATGAAAAGTTGTACTGCAGAAATTAAAAGATAAAACGTAGAAGCAACGACAATCTTTCAAGTAGCAATAAAACTTGGAAATAATGCCACTGAAGCAACTTCTAAAGTAGTTTTATATACTCAGGAAAAAAAGGAAGCCATTCAGTGATGTAGAAATTGTGAAATAATGCATTGTTGAAATTGTAGATTGCTTAGATCCCAATAACATTTCAAAGTGCAAACAACTGACTCTTTCAAGCAGAACCATAACTGATTGGCAACATGAATTGGCCTTCAACTTAAGAGAACAACATCATGCAAAAATTCAAAAGGAAAATATATATATTATTCAATTACTTTGGATGAATCATCTGAAATTACTGACTTAGCACAGGTTTTATACTTTATTTGGGTCATAAGAGAAGATTTTCTTTGCTATGAAGAGTTTCTTTCTTTGGATACTCTTGCAAACAGAACATGGGGGATAAATATTTTAAACAACTTTCAAGATAAATGTCGTGAAGTTGGACTGAATTTGGTAAATGTACTGAGGTTATGTACACATGGTGCACCTTCCATGACAGGAAAACATGAAGGATATATTGCATAGATTTTTTTTAAAACGTATTAACAGATCCAGATGCTCTCATTTCTTTTCATTGTATTTTGCTTCAGCAAAATCTCTGTGCTAAAGCTACTATTTTAAGTGACACTTTGCAACAACTTATATGAATTGTTAACTATAGCCCATGCAAATGCAACACCTCATCATCAGTTTTGTAACATGCTAAAGTTGAAAGATGAAGTGTTCAGTGTGGATTTGCTGTACCATTCTAAAATGCTTTGGCTATCACAGGGACAGGTGTTAGCCAAAATTTTCTGTGAGAATAGATGTTAAATTTAAAGAAGAACAGAGCCAGCGATGTGAATTATGAAAGAAAATTTCTATAGAAATGCAACATTTCTGTATGGTATCATGTCAAATCAAAACAACTTAAATATTTCTTTATAAAACTAAGTTCTACATTTGGTTTATAAACCTAATATAGCACTAAATCCATATATGATATGTGGCAAAAAAATCAAAGCACTTAAATAAAAGCTATCTTTTTTCAAAATAATTTTTCTTCAAAAGGAAATTTCAGATGAACATTTTCCCCAAAAGGTCATCAATGAACAGGATGATATATGTGAATCATCTGAAGAATACGCAGCTGTTACAGAGCTATACATTGGAGAATTCAATGAAAATTTCAGACTTTTAGAATCATGACATCACACTCAAATTAACATTCCAGCCTCACCTAGTTGATATCACTAAGGCACCTAAAGAACTACAGATGGAATTGATTGACCTCTCAGTAGATGGCATTTTATTGCCACTGTTTGGTGCTAAAGATCCAATTGAAATATGTACACATGCAATATAATAACCATGCCTTCAGCAACATGCCCAAAAACTGCTTTCTTGATTTTCAACTATTTATTGCTGTGAATCTACATTCTCCTACCTAAACTAAAGCAAGATGCCCTTAAGGTCACAAATGGCTGATACTCACCTAGAGGATCAACTGAAACCGTGGACCATCCTGATGCATCCAAATATTCAAATGCTTTCCAACAAAAAGAAGATACAACGAAGTCATTAAAAGGTTAGTTAACTTTAAAATTAAATAGTTTTCATTTTTTGAAATGATTAAGTACATAGTAGTTAGCTTTTTACAAAATAATGTACATTTTTAAGTATATCTAATTGGGATTTCTTGAATGTAGCCTTATTTGATTACAGCTAAATTAATGTGGCCTTCCAAAATGAAATGTTTCCCCACTTCTGGGATAAACCATAGTGACAAACTGAGAAAATGTAAGCAGTTGAAATGGCTGTATTGTGATCTGATACCACCGCAAATATTACTTCTAAGGCAAATGCACTAGTGAAACAATTTTAACAACTATTCATAATCTGAATTATCTTAACCATTTCATCTTTGAAACTAAACAATCTGTCTCTAGCGAGGGACTTGAGAGTTGATAGTTTGAAGAGGAAGAGTTAGCAACAGTTTAATAGGGAAACACTTCAGGGAAAGACAGCCTTCAATGGAATTCTGAATACCTGAAGAAATAGCAGGAATACAATTCAGATACAGCCAAAGACAAAATATTTTACTCTTTTTATGGTCTTACCTAAGTTTGATACTCAGTGTGTGATTTTTTGACTCAAAAATGTTATTATAGTACCTTAAATTGATTGTTGTTCTGTTAACCTACATCTCAGTTGATTGAAAGAATACTCTTCAACTTATTTTGTTCTTCTGGAGTCATCAAGAATTTTTTAAGCACCTGCTGTGTATCTGACACTTGAAGGCACTTACAATTTAACAGTAGATGTTCAAAAAACAACTTAAAATCAATACAAAAAACCAAAGGATGAGGCAAGGTAACATGAAATCAGAGGGTAGATTGATTGGTACAATTTCAAGATCTATAAACATCCAGAGAAGGAAGATCGCAGTGACTGACAATTTCAGAAAATACTTATGGAGAGGAAGAAATAAAAGGAAGTACAGGATTCAGATTGATGTATATGAGGGGACAGGGCTTTTCAAGAAGAGATACTATAAAGTTAATACAGAGAAAGAAATGAGTATGATATGTGCCATTTTTGTAGGATATGCATATGTAATTGAGTAATTTCTTTTTATTTATTGATGTATCATGGGAATGTTTCACTTTGGAATAAAATCTTGAAAAACACAATTTTATATAACCCATTGGATAGATGTGTCATCATTTTTATTATCACCATCATTTTCATCATCCTAACAGCAGGTACTACATGACAAGACATTAGATAATGGATATTTGCAGAAAAAAATCTTGCTTAAATCTACAATAACTATTGTTATTATTATTATTAGAACCATGGAGGAAATAGAGGTAGAGGTTAAGAGGTTAAGTATCTTGCTTAAATCACTAATAATTGGCACAGTCAGCATTAAAAGAAGTGTGTTGCACTAACTTTTATCCACCTAACATGCTTCGGGGTGTCATTTCCTGTATCTTGCTACCAAGATTTTGTGCAAATTGCCTTCCATACTTTTATTTTTACGTCTTTATTAGTGAATTAGAATGTTTCAATTATATTTTCAAAAAATGTATATAAAAATATATTTTCTCGAAACTTTGAAAAACTCAAAATATCTGTCACATGCACTCCAACTTAAATAAATGGAAATTATTGAATAAAAATCTTTCCTCTTCAAATCTCTCTACATGTTTCTCCACCAGTTTTAATTGACTATTTCAAAGAAGTTGTAATTTCTTATTCTGTATACTTTTAGTTTTTGTATAATTTTAGAGTTTTAGAAAACTTACTTATATGACAAATATAAATAAGTGTATGGATAGGGGATTTTAATTATTGTTTGCCTGTAACATAATTAAATATAGTATGTTTTTAATTCTTATTTTTTGGTACTATTTGATACATGTTTTTGTTGTATAAAACTTTCAAAATAATTTTTCTTCCTAAATTATGGTCTGCTATTTTTGGTAGTAGCCATAATTGCTATCTTTCTAACATATCCAATATTATTTAATTCCATAATTTGCTGAATTTGGTAAAAAGAAACTTTGTCCTGTTTATTATTTATATTGAGTTTATTTTTTGCAATATTAGTTCTTTACATTACTGCATTCACTCCAGATTTCACTTAATTTTGTTTGTTTGTTTGTTTAAATTTGTCCAGAATATTTGACTGCTCCTTGTGGGCTCATTTTGTTATTTCCTCATGGTTGTTAGTGCTTACATCACACAAGTAATATATTTTTGTTCAGTAATGACAAGGCAATACAGACAATATTTACTAGATCATTTGGTAAACAATTGAAAAAAAAATTTTGCTCTTTACATTTTTATAATAGTTGGATGAGACAATTTTGTCATCTCTTCTTATTAAGAAAATAGAATTAATGAGAATTAATATCACTAATAGTTATTTGAAAGTTTAAATCTCATACTCATATCTCCCTAACAAGTATTTGTGCCTTTAATGAGGGAGATAGTGAAAATATGCTAAATTTTATGATACCAACAATTTAATTAATTATTCAACAACTGAAGTGCAGCACTTATGTTGTATCCACATTTATTAACAATTCACCTTTTGTAATGTTATATTTTTAATCTAATATTTTCACAGGTTCTACTAATGGATATTAATATTGTTACACTAATAATTTAGTACATATGTCTGTATGTGTACTTTTTAAGAGAGTAAAATGGGCTTTACCATATCATTACCTTTGCCCATACATTAGATATTTTTTCCTTTATTACATTCACATATAATTTTACAATAACCTTACTTCTTAAAATAAAAAACCCACATCTTAAAAAGTTTAAATTCGAAATGACTACATTGTATCAGAAATAGGAATAATAAGATGTATAAGAAGGTGATTATGGAGGAATATGAAATAGGTTCAGAATCACATGCAGTCTATTAATTTGTCCTTTCATATTCAGTAGTTATGTTAATATAGTTTTCTCACAGTCAAATGACAAAGTAATTGATGGCAGAACTATATTTATTTACTTTTTATAGGAGCAAAGGAAAGACATTTACTATAAGTTTTGCCTAAAATTCAAATAAACATTTTACTATCATCTAGGAATCTACCTTTTCTTAAATGGTAGACTGCAAAGAAATTAATTTTTAATAGAAAATGAGTCTTCAATATTGTTGAAGTTGAGTTGCTTTAATTAAGAGTACTTAAGTAGCTAGCAATTACAGATGAAATTACATGGGTGTATAATCAAAAATAACTATATCCTTCTTTTCTTTAATTAAGATTGAATTATACAACTATTAAATCAAAGTATATTTTTAAAATGCAAATTTTCATATAATTAATAATTAAAAATATAAAATTGCTATAGCTTATGTAAAATATGCTTTATGCTTGTGTCACTATATTTTATCCAAATATTCTATAATTATATGAGTGTAGTCATGGTCAAATAAAATTATTTATATATAATTATTATAGATATATTAGTATTCATTATAGCATATTATTATCTATATATCATCATTATGTTTGCAATTATATTAAACTCATTCATATATAATTTTATGTATTATACTATTATATATTATCAATATATCTAATATTGTACGTATAATATTATTTATTTTAAGTTATCATGTATTATTCATATATTAATTATATGGATGTATTTTATATATGTATTTAATATATGTATATATGTGCATACAAATATATAAAATTAGGTTTTTCTCACAATTAAATTAAAAACTTAAATTATCCTCAACAATAAGTATATTTTCTGTAAATTAATAAAATTTTATGTATGGTTAGGAGACCAAATATATTAAAAGGCTTTTTTGGCAACATAGTCAAAACTATAAATTTTATTTTTATTTGAAAACAATTCTCTAATACATCTATAGAAATGTTTTTTATTGTATACTTGCTTTTTAATGCTAAATATTATATAAAGATGTGGCTTTTATCAAAAAGTCCCCAGACAACAAATATTGATGTGGATGCGAAGAGATAGGAACACTCATACACTGCAGGTGGGACTGCAAACTAACACAACTTCTATGGAAAATAGTATGGAGATACCTTAAAGAACTAAAAGTAGAACTACCATTTGATCCAGAAATCCCACTTCTAGATATTTACCCAAAAGAAAAAAAGACATTCCATAAATGTCTACACTAGAATGTTTATGGCAGCACAATTCACAAATGAAAAGATGTGGAAACAACCCAAGTACCCATCAATATATAAGTGGATTAATAAAATTTGGAGTACTACTCAGCCATAAAAAATGGTGAACTAATATGGCTTATATTTCCTGGATAGAGTTGGAGTCCATTCTTCTAAGTGAAGTATCACAAGAATGGAGAAACAAGCACCACATGTACTCAACATTAAATTGGTACTAGTTGATCAACACTTGTGCACTTATGGAAGTAACATTCATTGGAGATTGGGCAGGAGGGAGGGAGGAGGAGAGGATGGGCAAATTCACACATGCTCTGTGCGCACTGTCTGGGGGATGGACGTGTTCGTCGCTTTAACTCAGGTGATGCAAAAACAATTTATGTGACCAAAGTGTTTATACCCCTATAATATTCTGAAATGGAAAAAATTATTTTAAAAAATATCAAAGAAATAAAAAACATTATATGAAAATTTATCAAATGTTATTCTAATTCCTCACCTTGTAATATAATGTCTCCTTTTCTTCTCCAAATCTTTTTCCAGTATGGGCTGAAAGTTAGAGATCAGGGTTTGGGAATGCCATTAGGGCTTAAGATACAAGGAATTCATCTTTTAAAGATAGCCTCCAAATAGGAAAGAGCCAGAAATTCTGCATTGAGATTACTCTAAAGTTTTTTGCTGATTCTTAAATGTTCATGCAGAGAGTGGGATTGAGGAAAGTGATAGAAATAAGTAGCTAAAAGGGTAGGAATTTATTCAGAAATGTTAGCAGCTGCATGTTGCTGGAAAGGCAGAATTTGGAGTTTGAAACATGACTATTATAGGTGTTTGATAAACGAAATGGGTTTTTCTTTAAAATCCCAGAAGAGACATATCATAGGAGTACATATCACTATACAGACAAAGAGATACATTCTAAGACTAAGATTAACACCAAATATAACTTGCCTAATAATTTCTGTGCTCAAACATCAAGCTGATCGTCCAGTTATTTGCAAATTGTAAAAAACACATCATACATCAAAGAATAGAATGAGAATCCAGAGACAATAGAACTTATCATCTCTATTATTTTATGTCGTGAAAAAACAATAGAAAAAAAGATGAAGCAGGAAAATGATAAAAATACACAATACAAAAAGACACACATATAATCCAAATGTTAGAATTGGGACCCAGCTACTTTTAATAATTGCTATGATTGACGTAAAAGATGGATTTCAAATTTTGTATGTAGATACCCTGCCCTCAAGAGGTAGGGAGAAATGAGAGAGAGATGGTGGAATTAGCAGATAAGGACTTTGAAGATGTATTAAAATATGTTCAAGAATGTAAATAAAATGTGTGAATGACATAAAAAGGAAATCAACAAAATACCTAATAAAAATATTATATCTAAAATGAAACTATCATTGGGTAAATTTAACAGCCTATTAGGAATTGTAGAAGAAATGATCAGTGAAAAAGATTAGAAAAAGATCAGCAATAGAAACTACTGTACATAAACTACAGGATTTCTGTTTCCATCATGATGAAGTAATTGTTACTAAGTTTGCACTTCTTCCTTAAACAACTAGAAAAATGGGACAACAGTCGACAGAGGATCATAATCTCTGTGAGAGAAGGAAGTCCAACACGACCATTACTTTCCTGGAGGCACTTTTTGGACTATGGTTGGGGACAGGGGGAAGAAATCCAAGCACGGTGAGGGGACATCATAACTAAGGAGACAAATAACATAATTTGAGGAAGTTTAACTGGTGAAACATATGAAGCCTATTACAAGAAAGGAAAGATTTAAACCAACAAGGATTTTGCCTCTCCCCTACTTGGAATTATTTCGCTTTTTGTTTCCTTTTACTTAAGTGCAGTGAATGAGGGTCAATGTAATTCTTTCACCTAAAAAATAACAAATGAATTTCAGTACTAAAGTTTTAATTAAAAAATAGAATTTATAGTGTTCATCATTAATGTAATTGTTTCTCATTATAATAATGGTTTTCTAAACTTAATGATTCAAATAAAATGGCAGAAAATAGTAAATACATTTACTAGCTTGAAATTCGTGTCCATTATAATTGCATAGAATTGAACAAAGTCTAATTTACCAAAATCAAAATGATACAAGTCCATTTTTATCTTTAATTTTCCAGTTTTTTGTATAATTTTTACACCATTTTTGTTGTCTGTTATTTATTCTTTAATCTGACAAAACACACATAGAAAGTACATTGTACATAAAATACTAATGATATGAAAGAATTAGCTTAACAATATACTAATATGTCTTAAGTAATAGTGCAATACCAAAAAAATCTCAGAGGATATGCCATGATTATCTTATGTATTTTCCAAGGAATAAATCTACACCTAGTTTTTCATTTTATACATATTTGTCACAAAATCTGCATACAATTGTTATTGGCTAAAACTATAAAGAGTAATGTTCACAAATAAAAGAAAAAAGTTAAAATATTTTACTGAAATAAAGTGAACTGAGGAAAATTACACTTTCTAGAAAGAATTTAATGCAAAGTAAAATCAAATAATGAATGAATGAACATAATAAAAAGCAACATTGTATAAAATTGACACAAAAATAAATATTGTAGATAAATTCAGTGCTGAAAGTGTGGGCTGAGTAAAATCATTATTGAATATTTTATTCCAAATAATTTGATCCTAACAAAAAAGTGTCAGTAAATCATGACAATTTTTATAACAGAAAAAATTTAATTATTTGTTGTAAATCTATCAAAAATTAGTTTTATGGAAATTTCAGTAAAATATATGCAATATAATTTCCCCACAAACATGAGTTTATGTAATTTAAATATAAATGAAAGAAAATAAAACATGCAAGGATAATAAAAAAATGTAGGTGGAGGGTGTAAGTTAAGAGCATAATGAATTACCCAAATATAATTAGTGCTAAAATTAAGCATGATAACATTGTTATTCATATATACACAAATTACATAATCTTTGTTTTTAATCATGGCATAGATAAATAAGGAAAACATTTATTATATATTTCAAATAATTTTAATAAGATAATATAAATGTTCTTATAATTAAAAATATTCACAGTTTGATGCTCTGAATAGTGTTTGAAATACTATAGGTTCAGTATTATAGAAATTAGTTATCATATACTTTCATAGAAATTTTGGATATTTGAGCTTTCTTATTTAGAATCATGGTAAAAAACATTTTAATATTGTCCCCTCATATTTTCCATTTTTATGTGCAATTTTTATTTACTTATTTATGTAAAGGGACGAAAATACTGAAAAACATGATTATGCCATTATTTATTCATAACCAAATCTGTTGCAATTATGTCAGCATGTAAATTTCTCAAGAAATCTATGGTTCACTCTGACTACTAGAATGAATTCAATGTTTTAATAGAGTAGATATTTATTTTTGTTATTCTGATCTAAGACATTTAATCCTTACGTATCATGAACTTACATCCAACTCAAGAAGCATTTCTCTGCTCCCATGTCTCACTGCATTCCCCAACTTACTCAACTTTAAAACTTGAATTTCAAATTAACTCTTGTTCATTTTTTGAAATCCAAGCCAATTAAGGTCATGCTTGCTTATGCTTCATTAAAATAGCTGCTGAAATGTCAACAGTGCTCTCCACACCACTAACCTCCATATCCAGTTCCCATTAGCCATCTTAATTGACTGGTTAACATTTGGCACATAGCTTCTATTGAAACTTTCCTTGATTGGCTTTTACTCCTTCTCACTTTCCTTTGGTGGTTCCTTGTTGGGGAGAGTTGAGGCAGGCCCGTGAGATCAGCTGCTTCTCCCCATTGAGCCAGGTCCCTTAGATACGGGTCACCACAGAGGATAAAAATATTGATAGGAAATAGAATAAAAGAACACACAGAGTCTAAGGTATAGTTTATAGTTTTATATAAAAAGATCAGAATAATCACAGTAGGGTACTTAGGAGACTGGACATATCCCCTTGAACATCCAGCAATATGGTTAGATTCACATAGGTTTTATAATCACAGACATCAATTACCAGTTGTCAGGGTAACATATTTGTGTATCAGGGAATGCAGTTGCTAGGGAAGACAGGTAGTGGGTTGGGTCAAAAGTCCTCTCAAAGGGCTTCTAATCTATCTAGGTGAACAAACAGGCACAAAGTCTTTCAGGGACTAACTTCTAAAGTCTAAGAGGTAGTTGTCAATTAACAAAGATATAACATAAAAGGTATAGTGACCCTATATTTCTTTGATCTATTTATTATGGACTTAAAGGTAGACAGTCAGGAGAGAGCAGGAAGCCCATCTCTATAAAACAGGTTGTTTATAACACAGGGACATGTCTCTGGGCAAAGGGCACTCATTGTCTCTGGCTTCCATCCTGTGAGCCATATTTGCCCTGCCTTGTCTTTCAAGAAAACAGGGAAGCTCACAGATTTTGAGATACCGAGAAGTCTTCCTGGAAAACATCCCTATCAGAGCCATGAGAGCCCTCCCTTGATAGCAGCCTCTGATAAGTGAACCATTGAGTTCACACATTTCTTCGAGGCAAAAACCTGCAAACTCCTGTTTCTGTCTTTAATATAGTAATATAGGGAGATATAATAAAATAATGGTCTTATGAGCTACATCTCATTAATTCCTCAATCATATTTTCCCAACAGTTTCTCAGTTCTTTAAATTCCGAATGTTAGAGTTCCCAATGACTCAATGACTCTTATCCTCCTATCAATTTTCTACACAATTATACTTATTGTACAGGACAATTCACTGACAATTTTAAATATCAACATTTCTTTAATGATTCATAATAATTATATTTGACCTAAATTTACCCTGAAATCCAGACTTTATAATCAACTATGCCAACTTGAAATCTTTCCTGTGTAATAAGCATCTCAAATTTATGTACACAAAATCAAACTCCTGATTCCCAATAATATTGAATTTTTCAATTAATTTCTTATCTCCCTCTGTATCTGTTTTCTAGGTTGCCATGACAAGTTATCACAAAGTTGAAGGCTTAATATAACAGAAATTCATTCTCTCACAGCTCAACACTTGAAATCAAGGTGTTGGCAGAGTTGGTTCTTTATAGAGGTTCTGAAAATGAATTGGAGCCATAACTTTGTTCTAACTTCTATTGGTCACCAGAGCTACCTTTGGTGTCCTTTGGATTGCAGATGCATTGCTCAAATCTCTGTCTCTGCCTTTATGTTTCCCTCTTCTCTGTTTCTGGGTCCTTTCCTGTCTCTTTTGAGGTCACTCTCATAGGATATAGGACCTACTCTAATCCAATATTATCTCATCTCCATCCTCATCTTAAGGACCTGAAAAGACCCTATTTTCAAATAAGGTCACATTTTGAAATTCTGGGTAGACATAAATTTGGGGGAGAATATTATTCAACCCACTACACCCTCTTTTACTCATTTTATTAAATTACAACTTTATTCTTGTAAGACAACAAAATCCTCAGAGTGATCCTTCATTATTTTATT